GTCCCATCTCCAATACTGACGGTTTGCTGTATCGATAAGGGAGTAGAACTCCAAACATTTCACTTGCATCGGGGCGAAGGCCCTTGTTAAACTCTGGACCTTGCCTATAACCCTTGCCAACTGTCTGGCTGTTACCCAGTTTATTCCCAACAGTGTCTTCAAACAAGCTTTCGTCTCCTCCAGCTTCTGTTGTGGTACTATCACCTGTGCCTTTTCCGTATTCACAATTAGTTCATAAAATTTTATTTCTCTTGACGGCATCGGACTGCTCTTGTCCCAAGCCAGGACAAACCCACAATTCCTCAGGTCCGGTAAAATGACTTCGTCCTGGATTTTCACCAGTATTACTGCAAAAGGGTAGGCTACCCATATATCGTCTACATGGGAGCCCGAAGCGATACCCTTTGATCTCCAATGGGCGACTAATGCCCGAATTATCTTTGAAAAAACCCAAACCGCTTGGGAAAGGCCAAACGGCAACACTTGGTATTGGTACCAAAAATTTTTCACCCGGAAATCCAGAAAACGTCAAGCTTCCTCCTCCATTAGAACGTGGTGATATCCATCTCTTAAGTCTAACATAATCAAAGACCATCCTTTTCCAATTGACCTCAATAGGCCTCCCAGCCCTTTGAACTGAAATGATGTTTCTGGGAGTCTCTCGTTTAACATTCTTAAGTCTATCACCAGGCGGTAGCGTTTTGGGCCTGACTTGGTCACCAGAAAGATCGGAGAGACCTCTAACAGGGAAACTGGGTGAAGCAAACCTGATCCTACTTTCTTTATAGCACCCAGTCTTTTCAGCTGATTTAACTCCTCCTCCAGCCACACCGTTTGTTCTGCCGTTAGTTTGTAGGGTTTCGGGTCCCCTTTTTTGACGAGGCTCCATACCTCCCTTGGAAACAGGGGCACTAAGTTCCTTAACCAGCAAGCTACTACTGGTGGGGCCCTATCTTTTTCATCCAATATCTCACAGCTGCTGGTTTGTGTATTCTTTCAACAACCTCCCTGCCCTGATCTGCATCGCCCGCTATTATCGTTATTTTGTTCTTCTTTTTTGTCTGAGTGTAGTCACCTTCCATTGCTGCTTTTATTCTGAAAAAATCTATTCCTTAACGAGTTACTCTCAGCTGACTTTGATGGATATACTGCAGCTGTATGACCAGCCCCATCACAAAAGTAGCAGTTAAACTGCTTTGTTGTTGGTCTGTTATATGAGTTTGGGTAAGCTGGACCCAGATTCGGGATCACATTCTGATTCTGGTACCCTTGAAACATAGGCGGTGGGTACTGGACATATGGTTGTGGTTGTGGGTATGGTGACGGGTAGGGTATATAATAATTTTGTCTTGGCTCGGGGCCCACGAACTGCCCCTATTTCTCCAGGTTCCTCTACTATAGGATGTGGGAGATCCTTCATAAGGTTTAGTCTGTTTCCTTGCTTCAGTTAGTAGTTCCCTAAATTCATCGTTTTTGCTAAGGGTTGGCTTTGGTATCTTTGTCACCACTTTCCAACCCTCTTCTTCAGCGACTCTTAGAACAAATGCCTTCAGTTTTAACAACTCCTATACCTCCGTCACCTTCTCTTTC